ATGCATCCACTTATCTATTCCATAAATACTATTGAGTGGCTGCTATGTGTCAGCTATGAACAAAGCGGCTGTAAACAAAACAGACAAATATTCCTATCCTCTTAGAGTTTACAGTAGTGGTCCCCCCATCTGAATCCATGGTTTCAGTCTCTGGGGTTTCAGTTACCAGCAATCAGCCACAGTCCAAAAATATTAAGTGGAAAATCCCAGAAACAAGTAATTCATACACTTTAAATTGTGTGCAGTTCTGAGTAGTGTGAAGAAATCTTTTGCCTTTCTGCTTTGACCTGCTCCCTCCCACCTGGGATGTGAATCATCTATTTGTCCAGGGTATTTAGCTCTGTAGGATACCCACCCATTAGTCACTTAGTAGCCATCTCAGTTATCAGATTAACTGTTGCAGTGTTTGTGTTCAAGTGATCTTTACTTAAGGGTAGTCCCAAAGCACAAGAGTAGTGACGCTGGCAATTTGGATTTGCCAAAAAGAAGTGTTTCCTTTAAATGAAAAGTTATGTACATAAAGGAAAACAAACATAGTATGTACAGGGCGGGGCAAAAGTATGTTTACAGTTGTGAGTATGAAAAAGTTTATTTATTCTTGTAATATTATTTATTAATTATATTATTTTTCATATGAACAACCGTAAACCTACTTTTTCCCCACCCTGTATAGGGTTCAGTATCATTCATGGTTGTAGGCATTCACTGGGAGTGTTGGAATGTATTCCTTTTGGATAAGGAGGGACTGTTTTACTCAACAAATATCTGTTGAATGAATCAAGGTATTATTAACTAAACAAAAGTAGTGAAGAAAGGCATCCCAGGTAGGGCAAAACTAAGTGGGGAGGGGTATAAGGCCTTGGAGACAGGAATATAAGTAGGGTGTTTAAGAAAGAAAGGAGCATGAAGATGTAAAGTATAGCATAGGGAATATAGTCAATAATATTGTAATAATAATGTATGGTGTCAGATGGGTAATAGATTTATCTGGGTGAGTTTTATAAATGTCTAAACACTATGTTGTACACTTAAAACTAATATAATATTGTATTTCAATTGTACAAAATTGAAAAGAATTTTTAAATTTAAATGAATTTATTTTTGAGCCTTGTCCAGGTAGCTCAGTTAAGAGTGTCATTTCAATATACTAAGGTTGTTTCATCCCTGGTCAGGGCACCATACAAGAAGCAACCAATGAATGCATCAATAAGTGGGACAACAAATCAGTGTTTCTCTCTCTCTCCTACCCTTTCTCTCTCAAATCAATAAATAAAATATTTAAAATAATAATAATAAAAAGTTATGTTTAAAAATAAAAATAAAGCAGGGAGAAAAGAGAAGGGTAAGGGCCACAGAGTTCAGATTAAGGAGCTTTGGCTTAAATGAATAGACATCAAAGGTTTTTTCAAGGGCAGTTACATTTGCAAAACAATGTTTTAGGAGGAAAACGTTAAAGATATAGGACTTCGGTCTATCTTAAGATAAAGTACGGGTTGTTATACAGTTCATTCTCAAATATTCATTCAGTGAAATGAATATACATAGGCTAGATGGAAGGAGTAAATAAGGAAAAAGCATATGGCATTAGTCTAGGCATAATATAATGCAGGGGTGTTCAACCCGTGGCCCGTGGACCACATGAGGCCCAGGATGGCTATGAATATAGCCCAACACAAGATCATAAATTTACTTAAAACTTTTTTTTTGCTCATCAGTTTTTGTTAGTGTTTGTGTGTTTGATGTGAGGCCCAAGACAACTTTTCTTCTTCCAGTGTGGCCCAGAGATGCCAAAAGGTTGGACACCTCTGTTAGAGGCTTGAATTAGGGTGTTGGTCTTTACGGAGGTTTGACAGTGAAAGCAGGGGAGACAATAAGCAAATAGTTCAAGGGAATAGGAGAATTTAGGCACAGATTGAGTCAGTAAAAAACCACTATTTATTCAATATTCTTGAACCTAGTATGTTCTCTGTGCTCTCTAAAGCTAATTAAATAGAATTGATCCTACTCTAGAGGGCTTTACTATATGAAATTAAAAAAAAAAAACATTAAAAGGAAAACTTCCATGATGCCAAGACACTGATTTTACTCTTATTAAACTTTATTTTCTCTAGCTACTAATGATGGGAGGCAAAAAAAGAAAAAAAATGCATGTAATATAGCCATACTATACAAAAACAACAACACACACACACAAAGTGAAGGAAATCTTGTGGAATCACTCCCCCAGTCTTGAAATTTTGAAAACATTCTTTTTAAATTTAGACCACAAATTCCTAAAGAGTAAATACTATGGCTGATAACAGAGAGGAAGACAGCACAAAGGAAGGTTGATCTGGAGGTGGCAGTGACAGAAACCAGCAGGCCATCAGGCAGGATTTTACAGAGCTGGGTTTGTTTCTTTTGTTTTGTTGTTTAATCTTTGCGGCATCACATAGGTTTAGAATTGGTTTTTTAAGTGTAACTAGAGATGAGATGATTCAGGGGCACAGACTCCTAATAAGATAAGAAACAAACAAAGCAACTTGCTAATTTGTTTATTCCTGATCACATATAATTGCTGAGAAAATTGTAGCAGCTTGAATATCAATTGTAATCAGAGACTTATTTGGTAAACATGGATTTTAGTCCAGAATAATTTGGTCATCTGGTCAGCAACAGCTTTCTCTCTCTTCTCTCCGACTTCTTTTCAGAAAGCTCCTAACTGTATTGGGCATATACTGATAATTTTTTTACTCTCTGACTCCCCTTTTTGCACACTTTAACTATTACCACATCACACACACTTGAAAATCAACCAGCTGCAATTAAATAAGTCTTAGGATCTAGTTTTTGAATAATAATTAATACAAAGAAATACTGTCCTGCAATCAAAAATAATTAAGAGATTATCCTAATCTTGATATGTGTCTCTTAAAAATTTTATATTAAAGCTATATTTTTTTAATTTTGAAAACTAAAATTTATGGAAATCTCAAACTTCTATATTGCAAATACAGTGCAACTGTTATCCCCCCAAAATAAACCATTTGAGAGTAAATTGACAACATTCTACAAGTACATTCCATGAATCTACAATGTAACAATCAAAAACAGGATTTAACATTGATACTTTATCATCAAATCCTCAGAACCCATTCAAGTTTAATCAATTGTTCAATGATGCCCTTTATAGCAAATGGATCCAGTCCAGAATTGCACTGTGTTGTCATATGTCCTGATAGTCTCCAATTCAAAAATCATAGAAACTTTTTAATATTATCTTCTCCACTCCCCTTTTTAAAAATTCCCCATTAGTGATCTAATGTTTCTCCCTTATAATTTCTCATCCAATAGAAGTCTCCAGATACCCAGCTTCCTCTTTCCCATCTATCACTTCAGTCATTTCTCTCAATTCTGTACCACAGAAGCTTGGGAGCCAGGGTGAAGACAACCTGTAGGTGAGGAATATAAGGGCCAAAGCAGAAAATATATAAATGTTAATATATTTTGTCTTTGTCAGTCTTCCTTGATTCTACCTCAATGGCCTTTTTATTCATTCAGTATATTCCTAAATATCTTTAGTATGCATTTATATCTTTTACATAGGTCAATTACATCGTGAGTTTCTCTTTGTGCCCTCTTTTATTTTGTATCTTTTAGGATACCTTCAGGTTTCAAGTTACAGAAAACTCAACTCAAGCCTCCTTAAACCATAAAGAGGATTCATTGGCTAATACAGTAGATATTTACAAAGTGCCTGGCTACCGCATCTTCAGGATAAAGCCAATTTTCCATTTTCTCCAGAAGAGCTTCTCTTTTCTAAACTTTCCTAGTTCTAAGTGTCACTTACTTAGCACAAAACAATGTGGTAGAAAGACCTTTAGTTTGGTCTAGGGAAACTGGGATTTAGCCTCTAGTACAGATTCTTTGCATAATCTTGATTAAATCATGTTTTGTCTCTGTTCCATGGCTGAGGCAACTTTCAGCTCTAACATCTTTGGCCAGAGGTCAGCAAACTATGGCCCAGAGCCAAATCTGACATACCTCCTTTTTTTTTTTAAATTTAAATATTTTATTTATTTATTTTTAGAGAGCAGGGAAGGGAAGGAGAAAGGAGAGAAACATGATGTGAGAAAGAAATATCAATCCATTGCTTCTCCTATGCTCCCTGACCAACCAAGGACTGGACAGGCAGCCGAGATATGTGCCCTGACCAGGAATCAAACTGGAGACCCTAGGCCTTCTGGGAGGACGCCCACCCTAGTGAGCGTTGGTCAGGGCTCCTGCTTTTGTATGTCCCCTGAATTTAGAATTGTTTTTACTTTTTCTAAATAGTCGATAAAACTTGCAAGGAATATTTTGTGACACGTGAAAATTATGTGAAATTCAATTTGTGTCCATAAAGTTTTTTTAAACCATGAACTTTTATTTACACACGGTCACGCCCATTTATACAGGATGTTGCAAGAGACCTTACATCCCTACCTGACCCTTGCAGGAAAAGTTTCCTAACATCTGCCTTGGACTTGTGCCTGGACTGCTGTACCTGCCCTGCCGCTGGTCAACGTTTAAGGCCCATCTTGGCTCCTTCATTAGACTACGAGCTTCTGGGTAACCTGGACGTGGTACCTGGTTCAGAGTAACCTCCTATAATACCAGCCGCTGCTGAGATTCTTATTGAGTAGGGAGGTCGGACAATGACGATTTAAGAGCTTTCTGGGTTGAAATCCCCACGGCTTGACAACGTTGATTGCTCACTCAGTCCCACAGTGTCCTCCTCTGAGAAACAGAGATACGAGGAGGCCAGAATGACATAAGACGTGGGAAGCACTTCGTAAGGTGTTATTGGTTACTATTAACCTTTCCCTGCCCTACTGCAAGCGAACCGGGAGGAGCTGCAGTGGGCCGGAGCGCCCGGCGGTGCTAGGATCCAGATGCCGAATTAGCGAAGCGCGCGGCTGTCAATCAAGGCCGCCCGGGGCGGGGCAGGGCGGCGCTTCCGCCTGAGCTGGGCCACGCCGGGCCGCCCTGCGGCGCCCGGGACAGTCCGGAACCGCGCCCGGAGCCGGCGGCCGAGCTGCCATGGAGCTGAATCCAGAGCTGCTGCTGCAGGAGGCCCGCGAGAACGTGGAGGCAGCGCAGAGCTACCGGCGGGAGCTGGGCCAGAGGCTGCAGGGGCTGCGGGAGGCGCGGAGGCAGGTCGGACGGCCGCGCCCGGAGGGGCGCTGTGGGCCCCGGGGAACCCGCGCGGTGCCCGGCGGGTGGTCGAGGGCCAGGAGGGCTCCAAGGGCTGGTGGTGTCCGGAAACAAGGGAGAAGGGAAGAGGCTCTGAAGGTGCAGGGAGCCCTAGCAGGCTGTAATGGGTGCGTGGGGTGCGGGGGGCTCTGAAGGGGAAGAGAGAATTGGGGGAATCCAGGGAGAGTGTGAGTGGGCGTTCCCTAAATTCTGAGCGGCGGTGGTGGGGAGAGGGGTGGGGTCCGAGCTTGGGGAGAATGAAGGGCCAGAGCAAAATCCGAGGACGTCCCAGAGGGTAGAGAAGATGAAGGAGAGCTGGGGGAGGTGTTCTTAAGAGGGAAACCCTGCTCTGGGGATGGAGACTGATTTTAGAGAGCCTGAGGAAAACGTAGAGTGGTGACTTTGGACAGGTAAAGGTGGGGACAAAATGGATACTGGAAGGGGAGGATTAGAGAGAGACTGAGAGAGATTGAGTAGCAGCAGTAGAGTCAACACTAAAATGAATGGTATTAATGCTTGAGCATAGTACTTAATATCTCATGTAATCTTGAATGCATTAAAAAAAACATTTATCGTAACCCTATTTTAGGTGGTTTAGAATTTAAGGTCAAGTCATGTTGGAAGGTCAGAAAAAGGAAAATGAAATCCTTGAGGGGTGGAATACAAAGGTGTAGGGAAATGGAAAAACAGATTTAAAAAGAGGAGTACTGAAAGGAGAAGCTAAATATACTTTCCGGGGATAACAGCTATCTGTTCGTGTGGACACGGTTATCAAAGAGGTAGGAAAGCCACATGGTTTCCCTACACCCTGGAACTTACACAGAAAAAGATAAAACCCACTCCCAGTGTGTGATAGGGCAGATAATTCTCAAACTACTGTCAACATAGGTGCTTAATAAATGCTTTTTGAGTGAGTGGAATCATTTGAGTGAGTGGGGTTTCATCACATTAACATTAATCTATGTTGTCATCCTAGTACCTCCCATGCTGAATAGAATCTGAAAATGCACAAGTCGCAGAATAGTGCTGTGATAACAGTGCCTTTGAAGGGTCTCATCATTAAGGATATTCAGCACGCTTTAGGTTTTACATATTGTAAAATCCTTTTTGTAGGCTAGGCATCATTCATAGTTTAGGAGCAAAACCTAGATATGGTTTTCTTGATTTAGTGAATGCTTTTCAAGGCCTTCCAGTGTATTTACCTTGATTTCACTTGAAAACATCTGCATTATTCCTTCTGCTATTTTGAAATAGAGGTTCTAAATCTAGGAACATAAAAAGAGATTAAAACATCTCATTATATGAGTACTGTTTCAACCAATTAAGATGCTTTATATATGAACAGAACTATTTAACTGCATCAGCAGTTAAGCAAGAGAGTTGATACTAAATAGGTGAGTTTAGCATCTGGGAATGAATAATACTAATTTCTGGTGTGATGGTGAATGCATTAAATTTTTTTTTTTTTTGTATTATCCTGCCCTGAATGGTTTAGTATTCAATTTCCAAACTTATCTTCTTTTAACTTTATATCCAATAATTTAAATACTGGACATACTTTCTGATAATTTAGTGCAGTTGAGTGTGGGTTTTTGTTTTGTGTTGTTTTTTGAGGCCCATTCTCTTGGAATTGAGACAGAAAACACTTAAGAACGTCCATCACAGTTTGCTTGCTGATAATACTGCCTTCTGACTAGACTATAATTCTTTTGTAAACTGGAATCTGTTTTGTGCCAGTGCCAGTTACCACGGCGCTTCTCCTCAAAGCTAATTCTAGAGGATTGTATGTTTGGGTTTGTAGAATAAGCTCTCTGTCAATTTGCACTTTAAGAAAGGTCTGTGTTACAAAAATGTTATCAAAATAAGCAGCTGCTTTTGTTTGGTGGTTAGGATATTTTTAGGGTTCCAGTCATTTTCAGAATAATTACATAAAATAAACGGTTCTTTAGTCAAAGATTTTTCATGGGGGAAGGATGGGAAGAGCAGAGAGGAAGGGATGCTCCCTTTCTGTATTATTTTTTTTTTTACTTGCTCATTGGATTTTGGAAGGATGATTTTTTTTAAATTGAGATAATTTGCATACCATAAAATTTATGCCTTAGCCGTAGTGGGTGGCACAGTTGGTTGGAGCGTCATCCCATGCACCAAACAGTGGCAGTTTGATCCCCAGTCAAGTCACATACCTAGGCTGTAGATTCAATCCCTGGTCAGGTGGGGTGCATACTGGAGGCAATCGATTGATGTTTCTCTCTCACATTAATGTTTTTTTCCTCTCCCTTCCTTGCTCTCTAAAATCAATGAGCACGTCCTCTGGTGAGAATTGGAAAAAAAAATTTTTGCCTTCAAATGTACATGTCAGCAGTTTTTAGAACAGTCACAAAATATGCAATCATTACCACCATCTAATTATAGAACATTTTTATCACCCGAAAAAGAAATCCCTTACCCATTAGCTGTCACTCCTCTAGCCCCTAGCAGGCACTAAACTACTTTCATTCTCTATTTGGATTTGCTTATTCTGGACATTTCATATAAATGGCATCATACACTATGTGGCCCCTTGGGACTTACTGATTTTACTTAGCATAATGTTTTCAAGGTTCATACATGTGGTAGTATGTATCAGTACTTCTTTCCTTTTTATGGCTGAATAATAATCATTGTGTGGTTAACCACGTTTTATTTATCCCTTCATTAATTGACAGACACTTGGGTTATTTTTACTTTTTGGCTCTAATGAATAATGTTGCTAAGAATATTCATGTACAAGTTTTTATGTGGATGTGTTTTCAGTTCTTTTAGTAAGTATATATTTAGGAATGCTGGATGGTACGGTAACTGTTTAACTTTCTCAAGACTGCTTGGCAAACTTTTTACCTTTGCTTTTTGTTTCTTACCCTTTAAAACTCATGAAATTTGTCTCATGTTAAGAAATCATGTCTTATTTCTTTTAAGTTATTAAAAATCTTTTTATAGTTTTTCTGTAAGAGTAAAAATCTTTTAAGTTATTCTGTCAAAACAACTGCTAGCACGTAGCAGTTTCTCCTCTTGTGGTTAAGTTTGTGCCCTACCATCTGTCTTAGAAAAGGAAGTGCTGTGTAGGAATGCAAGGGTAGTCTGTAACTCTTACTGTTTGAATAAAAGACTAGTGAGATGTTCGTTGTCTTCAGGAAATCAGATAATGTTTACAGCTAGTCTGGCCTAACTGATGCTGAAATTATTAAGAATAGTTCTCTATGGCTCCCTGGAATCCTTGGTGTTAAGATGTAAATACCACAGAAAGTAACTCCCACTCTCCATAAATACTCATTTGTTCATTCACTAAGTAAATATTTGTTGGGTGCTTACTGTAGATCAGAGATTCTTCTAGGTCCTAGAAATTCTGTGGTCAGGGAAATAGACCACTGCCTTCATGGATTTACTTGATGGCTGATCAGTAGACTATTACCCCTGAAAACAAAACAGATAAGAAAAAATCCTAAATTCTTGTGCATTCATTTTTAGATTTTACTCCCATTGTGTTTTTCATCACTTGTTTATCTAGACAGAGTTGGCTTTCCTGCTTGTTGTAATTAGAGATAGCTGATCAAGATGCCACAAGGAAATGCCAGCTGGCTGTCAGACATGCCTTACAGAGGGGCGCTCCCTTGATGACTGCCACTATCCAGGGTCTAGTCTTCAGCTTTGCAGGTTTAGGAACTTCATCTTTGTACGTTATCAAAGGGGAATTAGTTTGAGGTACTGGAAGTGCTTACAGTGAGAAATAACAATATTCTAGTCTGTGTACAGCTATATTTCACTTTGTAAAATGACTGTGTTGGCCTTCATGGGCCTTTTAGTTGATATTACTCAGTGCCTCTCAGGGCATTGACAAAAACAAGTCTCTGCTCTTTCAGAGTAAAGGGCCAGATCCTGGTACCTAATTAAGATACTATTTGGTGAGGACCCTGCCCAACTCTAGCCAGGGATGTCCCTTTGATCCTTGCTACTACGAGAGTGGTTCATTATGACACCAGTGGCATCGCCTGAAAGCTTGTGAAGAGTGCAGGAGTTGGGCCCCACCCAGACCGACTGAATTATAACCTATATTTTAATGACAGCCAGGTATGATATGTATGCACATTAAAACTTGAGGCGCACTGCCTTACAGTATGTCATTACCACTTCATCAGTGCTCTGCTGATTTCTGTAGTTTAATCTAAACCCCAGGTGTGTTGTCATAAATTACTTTGGTTTATCCACAAGTTTAAAATATTGTTTGGAATATTGTAGGCTTGTTACATAATTACACAATGATATTCAAGTGAACAATTGATGGTCTCAAGCCAGTGCTTTCCTAGAGTGTCTTAACATCTGTAATGTGACCATTTATCTTTCATAGTATTTTGTTTGTTTCCAATTTTTAATAGTTGATTTCAGATCATTTCTTTAAGATTTAATTCCTTGTCTTGGTATTCCTAATGTGCAAGACCAGGTTTTCTATAGATTATTTTTCCCACAGGATTCAAAAACACATAGCATACCAGTTAAGAGCTAGGGCAGATATAGAACTTAGCAGAAAAAAAAAAAGTTATTTCAGAGAACTGGGGCAGGAAGTCTTAGTAGCTAAGCAAAGAAAAGAAAGCTATCATTGCTTATTTTATCTCTTACTTCCCCTTCTGTTACCTATTTTCAAAACAGTACAGAAATATTTTTGAAATAATCTGTTACTGCTGTAGTACTTAAAACGTCCCTAGTAAAGTGTCCTAAGGAAAGGTTAAATTTAGAGCTGGGGAAAACCAAGAATGAAAGAAATAATTTTAAAGTAACTTATAATTCTGCTGCTTAGAGAAAACTATTATTAACATTTTGATTACCCTTCTAGACATTATTTTGCAAAATTGAGAGACTGCTGTATATGCAACTTCATATCAGTTTTTTCTTTTGGTTGATATATCATAAGCATTTATTATGAAAAATTTCCC